TCGAACCCGTGTCCCCTGCATTGGCAGGCAGATTGTCAACCACTGCGCCACCAGGGAAGCCCTAGAAGGGACGCTCTTTTACGGAGTGGCACCCAGGTGCAGCTGTCCTCCCAGGTTGCTGTCACAGAGCTAGCCCCCTTCCCGGGAGCAGGGTCTCGGGATGCCGGCCCCGACCCCAGCTCCAGGCATAGAAGCAGGAGTGCTAACGCAGACACCGCTTGCTTCCAGGTTCCTTCCGACCGAGGGGACGTGGCTCTGCAGATAATGAGGCTGGTGACGCAGCAAGAATAGGACGGCCCGGGCTGCAGGTGGGCTGCTTGGCCCTGGGGCACGGAAGCCGCAGCAAGCGCCCTGAAGGGGTAGGAAGCACTCTTCTCCCTTTGAATCTGACTCGCGGGGGAGAACCTCACTTGGGCTGTGATTGTGAAGGGTCCCATCAGCTTCGACAGAGAACAAAATCAGTGCCTCTGTGACAACTTGGAAATCATTTCTGCTTCTGAAAACTGAGTTTTAAAAAACTGGATTTGGGGCTTCCCTGGTGGCGCAGTGGCTGAGAGTCCGCCTGCCGATGCAGGGGACACGGATTCGTGCCCCGGTCCGGGAAGATCCCACATGCCGCGGAGCGGCTGGGCCCGTGAGCCATGGCCGCTGAGCCTGCGCATCCGGAGCCTGTGCTCCGCAACGGGAGAGGCCACAGCAGTGAGAGGCCCGCGTACCGCAAATAAATAAATAAATAAATAAGAATTAAAAATTGGATTTCTTTTCCTCAAAATAAAGGGTTGAAAAAGATTAACATTTTCTTACTACAAAAGCAAATTATGCGATTTATAGAAAAAACAGGAAATACAGGCAAGCAACAAAATGAACACTCATATGCTCCCTTCCCACGGGTAAGCGCTGTTACCACTTAAGTGTTTATTCTTGAAAATCTTTTTTTGCTGTGTATACATATATATTTTACACAAAAAAACGCAATCATTGCTATGTTATTTCACAGTCTACTTTGTTCACACATCAGTATGATGTCTGCTGAGCATTCCATTTTATGGATGTACCATAATTTACCTACCAAATGCCCAGTGTTGCCCATAAGCAGTGTCTAGTTTGTCGCTTTTATAAACGGTGCTCTGGTGATTTATCCTGTTAGTTACATTTTTACACACATCCTTATCATTTTCTTAGAATAATTTCCTAAAAGCATACTTGTTCAGTTAAAAAATTGTAACATTTCTTTAAAATTAAAATGATGAGTTTGGGACTTTAGAGTTTTAATTCATGGCTCAAGATCTGCAAAGGGACCTGATAGCTTCTATGATAGCCCTGAAAGAAATACTACTTCCTGTAGTTGTGGGGCTGAGATTTTGAAAACCAAACCCAAAGTCTCGTCCTGCAGTATGTGAGGAAAGAGTTACTAACAGGTTACGCCTACGTGACCAGCCCCTTCTGACCTGAGACTAAAAACAGGCTTCCTTGGGTGGTGCTCCACGCTTTCCCCACAGTTTGGTTTGCTGTTGGGAAAAGAGGGCTCCTGTACTCCTGTGTGGACGGGGAAGAATGCCAGAGGCTTGTGCTGGGCCCCCCTGGACTCCACCAATGCGTATCGTTCTCCTGCTGCTTCTGCCAGGTGTCATTTGCTGGAAAAAAATTGAGCTATGAGTATAACTAGTTACTGGGTCTTATGAGTCCTTTGGACATTGAATTACAACACAAATTGAATTCCCAGCCTCACAGAGTCTTTTTGTTAGAGGTTAGGGTATTTCGGGGGAAGGAGTGAAAGTCTGAACATTAGGATATGTCATATGGGCAGATTCCAATGAACCTGGGACCTCAAAGCTTTTTTGCCATTGGGAGCAGCCCTTCCATCCCTGTCTGAGGAGGTTAGTCTCTTGTCCTAAGATCCTATAGCAAATTCCCAGACTTGCCTAAGGCCCCTGTTCCTGCTACCTTGTATTCTCTCTCAATCCACACCCATGCCTTCATGGGATTCCCTATGATGTGTCGACTGAGGAAGAAAAGTCTCAGGCTTGGTTTGTAGATGGTTCTGTGTGATATGCATGCATCGCCTGAAAGTGGACCACTTTGGCACTGGAGTTCCTCCCTGGGACAGCCCTGGAAGATGGTGGTGAAGGAAAATCCTCCTACTGGACAGAACTGGGAGCAGTGCACCTGTTTATTTTGCCTGCAAAGAGAGATGGCCAGAAGAAAGGGTCTGCCCCGAGTCATGGTTTGGTTGGGTCGTTGAACTGGAAGGAGCACAACTGGAAAATCGAAAGGTCTGAAGGAGAGAGGTCTGAGGATAGAGCTCTCGGATTGGCAGAGCGTGAAGATATTTGGGTTCCACGTGAATGCTCACTGAAGGGCAGGGGAAGGTTTTAATAATCGGGTGGATGGGATGACCCATTTGGTAGACATCAGACAGCCCCCTTCCCCAGCAACTCCTGTGGACTTGTGAACAGAGTGGCCCTGGTGACAGTGATGGAGGCTATGCATGGCCTCAGCAACATGAACATGTGTTCACCAAGACTGACCTGGCTACAGCTGCTGCTCAGTGCCCAACCTGCCAGCAGGAGACAGCGCTGAGCCCCTAATGTGGCACCATTGCCGCAAGGAATCAGCCAGCTACCTGGTGTTAGGTTGATTACATTGGACCACTTTCATTTTGGAAGAGGCAGCAAGTTGCCCTTACTGGAATTGACACTTGCTCTGGACATAGATTTGCCTTCCCTGCCCACAATGCTTCTGTCAAAACTACCACCTGTGGCCTTACAGGATGTCTCATCCACCATCATGGTATTCACAGCAAATGACATACAGCAGTGGGTTCATGCTCTTGGAATTCACTGGTCCAACCCTAGTCTTCATCATCTCGAAGCAACTGCTTTGACAGACAATTGAATGACTTTTTGAAGATTCAGTTATATTGCCGAATAGGTGGTGACATCTTGCAAGGGCTGGGGCAGTGTCCTCCGGTTTGTGGTAAATTCTCTAAATCAGCATTATGTTTCTCCCATACCCTGGATTCAGAAGTTCAGGAATCAAGGGAAAAATATGAAAGTCCATCCTCTCAGTATTAACCCTAATGATCCAATAGTCAAAGTTTTGCTTCCCATCTCTGCAGTTTTAGCATCTGCTGGTGTAGAGATCTTGGAGAAATGCTTTCACAAGGAGACACAGCAAAGATTGCATTAAATTGGAACTTGAAGCTGCCATCTGGCCTCTTTGGGCACTGAATCAATAGGCAGAGTACTGGCTGGGGTGATTGACCTGACTATCAAGGGGAAACTGGGTTGCTGCTGCACGGTGGGGGTAAGAAGGGGTACTGCAGGAGACCCTTTGGGGTGCCTCTTAGTACTCCCATATCCTCTGATTAAGATCAATGGAAAACACAGAAACAACAAGGTCCTGCCACTGTATAGCACAGAGAACCATATTCAGTATCCTATGATGAACGATAATGGAAAAGAATATTAAAAGAATATATATATATAAAACTGAATCACTTTTCTGTACAGCAGAAATTAACACAACATTGTAAATCAACTAGATGTCAATAAAACAAGCAAACAAAAATCAGTGGAAAACTACAACAACCCAATTTAGACTGCTAATGTCCCAGATCCTTCAGCAAGGGCTTGAGTCGTTCCACCAGGCAGGGAACTATGACAACGGAGGTGTTTGCTGAGGGCAAAGGAAACGTGGAAGGAGCAGTAGGTGGTGATAGTTACAAATACTAGCTGTGGCCCTGTGACCAGCTGTAGAACGAGGACTCTAATAGTTTAAAGTATTTCTTCTTTATTTTGATGTGACTATATTTTAATAAATATTAACCAAAAATTTTGTATCTCCTCTCTCAATCTCTATCATCTAACCTGAGATGTGCTCATAATCACTTTATATGTAAGTGTTTTAAGTTACAAGATGTCAAAACAGGAGTGTGAATCAGCTAGGAAAAGAACGAATGTTATCCAAAGACGAAAAAGGGACCTTGATGCTCTCCTGGGGATGAGGTTAGAATGGTTTTGGTTGTAAGAGGGATAGTGTGTCATGTTAAGCAGAAGCATAGCTTTGTTTTTGTCTTTATTTGGAGATTAAATGGTGTTTCGGGCAACATGTGGGTGGCCAGTTGAGAAGGGGTAGACTGTAGTCTTTGTAATGTTTCAACTTGCCTTGGCCAAACTCTGTTTTCCAGAGTTAAATTTCCGCTATGTTTCTGATTAGAGTGGCCTAGAAGACTGGAGATTCTATGACCTTTGGAGGATGGAAATTGATTTTTCCTAGTTAGGCCAGCTGCTGTTTCACCTTGTGAACTGTTGTCTTCTCATCTGTTTCTTAATTTCTTATTTCATGAACTCAGTGTTTGCTTTAATTTCCTTGAGAGGAAGCAAAGTGTTTAGAGTTTCCTAGTACAAACCTTCCAAGGAATGTTTCTCATCTGTTTCATCTATCTTTTGTATTTTGTGTTGATTTCCTCCATTTTAGTTGAGGTTGGCTGTGTATGTGTTTTTTCATGTTTATTGTGTTTGCTTGTTTATGTATACTTATCTTTGAATGAGGGTAGTTACAGAATAATCTCGTTCCCCATCCTGTTCTTTTGGTTAATTTTTAGCTTGTCCCCTTAGTTCTTATTCTGGAAGATTGGATGTTGTGGGTCCATATGGTCTGTTTAGTTGTTCAGGTGCCTAAGGGAGGTGGATGCTGGGATCTTGAGCAATAAGAACAGATCTCCCTCGACTTTGATGGGGTTACATCCTGGTAAATCCATCGTAAGTTGAAAATAAGTCAAAACTGCATTTAGTATACCTAACCTACCTAGCTTACCTAGCTTAGCCTAACCTACCTTAAACGTGCTCAGAACACTTCCGTTAGCCTACGGTTGGGCACAATCATCCAACACAAAGCCTGTTTTATAATGAACTGTTGAATATCTCATGTAATTTGTTGAATACTGTACTGAAAGTGAAAGAATGGTTGTCAGTGTCTCATGATCATGTGGCCGACAGGGAGCTGTGGCTGCTGCTGCCCAGCATGACAAGAGAGTGTTGTACCAGGTGTCGCAGCCCGGGGAAAGATCACAATTCAAAATCTGATGTATGGTTTCTACTGAATGCATATTGCTTTTGCACCATCTAACGTCGAAAAATTGTAAGTCAAACCATTGTAAGTCGTGGACTGTCTGTATTGGGAACCTTACTTGGGGCCCTTATTCACTAATGGCAGAGGCACCTAGATTTTGTTGTGGTCCCCTGCTGCAGGATGGACCAATCACTTTGGTTTTTTTCTTTGTTTGTTTTTGTTTATTTGTTTTTTTGGACCAACCACTGGTAAGAAGCAAAGTCCAGAGAGACCTAGGGACTCCTTATTTGATGGATTAGTATTAGTTACCTATTGCTGCATAATAAATCACCCAGAAATGTAGTGACTTAGAACATTATTATCTGATCGTTTCTGTAGGTCAAGTTGGGGTCTCTCCTGGGGCTGCCATCAAGCTACTAGCCAGAGCTGCAGTCATCTCAAGGCTCAACTGGGGAAGGATCTGCTTACAAGCTCGCTCATGAGATTGTTGGCAAGACTCAGCTCATCACAGGCGGTTGGACTGAGGGCCTCTCTCAGTTGTTTGCCATGTGAATCTCTCCGCAGGGCAGCGCATGACGTGGCAAAGTGAGAGAGAAGAATCAGGGAGAGAAAGTGAGCAAGGTACAGGTCACCGTCCTTTATAGCCGAATCCCAGTGTGCTATCTTATCACCTTTGCCTATTCTATTCTTAAGAAGCAAGTCAGTATGTCCTGCCCCGTTCAAGTGGAGGGAATTACACAAGGGCATGAATACAGGAAGCAGACATCGCTGAGAGCCATTGAGAGACTGTCTACCAGGTGGGCCAGCACTCATTTTCTCATACCTCCCTCTGTCTTTCTTCACCTCAGAACTCTTCTTGTCATGAGAGGGGTCAGAGGAGAAAGTATGGTGATGTGTAGACTTTCAGGCTCTCCTCACACCTCACACTCCTGAGGTGGAAGAATGGGCTTCCCCATGGCCTTAGATTCAAGTCCAAAATCCTTAACCAGACCCTAAGACCTAATAGAATCAGGGCCCTCTTCAGCCTCATTGGTGTCTCTCTACCCCTTTCTCTTTTCACTGCAGTGCTCTTAGAAGTTGGGTTCCTGGAGAGGGCCCTATAAGTTGTATCCTCTTCCTTACCCAAGTTCTGAAACAACTGAAAACAACACAATAAAGTCAGCAGATAAGAAAACCAAAATAAACTGGAAGACGTAGCTTAGTGTGCGAATCAGAATGCACTTGCTAATTGTAAATACCCAGTCTTGACCTTGGACCAGCCCATCCAAGGGAAAGGGACAGTGTGTAGGGCAGACACTGCCTCCTGCTCATCCTGGTAGAGAGGGGAAAAGAAAGCCAAATCCCCCCAAGCCAGCATTCATGCTAGATTGGCTCTACCCAGTCAAGAAATGTAGACCACCATCTGTGCCCCAGTGTGACGGACACTATGAATTAGCTTGCCAGTCCACCCTCACAGGCACCTTCCGGAGTGCAGAGGTCAGAAAGCCCAAACTATACTCACAGATGCCTTGGTAGCTAGGGTTCGTATGTAAATAAGGTGGATATTAGATGGTGGCCCCTTTGGGTTTTTTTTTTTCTCGCAAGCCAGGTTGTAGAATCGTGAGATTTTTCAGCAGCAACGTTCCAGGACCCATTCTTCCTGTGTATGAAGGATCTTTTGGGGTGGCATCTTCTTGCCTGAGGGCTCCTGGTCCCTGACTTACAACTATGGTGGTCTGTTAAATCAGTGTTCCAGTGGTAGGAGCTACAGTAGTGGACGAGTTCTTCCATGTTCTTGGACTCACCCCTGGAGACCCTATCCTCGAGCCATTTCTTCCCTCCTTCCAGTCTTTCCAATGAAGTAGTGAGCACTGATACTGATAAATCCTTTCCTACCCAAAATATCTACAGTGCTTTCTATTTCCTGCACTAAACTTTGGATGATATTGTAGTGGAAGTGCCTGACGATTAGCTTATTTGATTGTAATGTAGGTGCCTGACATTAAACTTTCGATTGAATAAGCACATTGCCAGCTACACAAGTACATAAAGAGCCAGGCCACTGCACCTATGAAGTTCCCCCTTTAGAAAGCCCTGGGTGACCTAGATGACTGACCGCTTGAGTGATCCTGCTTTTTCCCTTCCTGCTCCTTCATTCCCAATCCTGTGTTCTAAATTAACCAATAAAGAGTGAACTCATGAAACTCTAGGCACCCCAGTAAAGGCAGAACCCAGGTATGCACTCTCTTTCTCTTTGGCCATGACCTCAGTATGTAGGCCCCAGGCATGCCTGTACCCTCCAGGGCTTGTGAGTAATCAACCTTGCTTTTTCAAAGTTCCCTGAGGGTTGCTGTGAGGTGCATCTTGCAATCATGATCAGAACCACAAGAGCTAATCCAGCCACAACACTGGCTCCAGTAGGGGAAGAGGAGGCTCACCACAGGTAGCAGGGCCCCAGGTGAGTGCCCGCAGGCATTCCGAGCAGATAGGTAGCATCACTGTCCATAGGCTGAGACTGCCACAAAACAGATACCCATCAGATAACTCAGCCTTCCTCATTGCAGAGGATTAAAGCGAGGCCAGAGCTCTGAGTCTTCAGGAAGACTTAAAGCCAGAAACAGGGAAGAAGCCTTTCCCCTCTCCACTCTTCAGCACCCAACACTGGACTTTTCATGTGTCCTTCTTACTGAAAGACCTCCTGCCCCTCCCCACGTAGCTACTTTCTTACTCATCTTTCAGGTTTCAGCATAAACCTGACCTTCTCTCATAAGCCTTCCCTGATTCCCCTGGGAAGTTAGCAGCCCCCTTACTCAGTCTCATAGCCCTCTACCCGTACTCTGTGATCCTCAGTCTTCTAGTGATTACTTCCTGGGGCCCTGGTACAGGGTAGGCCTTCAGTGTTCGCTAGTTGTTTGGCTGAGTGACACTCCAGAGCAGGAATGAGGAATGAACACAATGGACCTCTTGCAAATTGTGCAGTCCCTGAGCTGCACTTGAGTTTGCTTTGTTCCAGGTGCTTGTCTTCCTCATTGGCTCTGACTGGGATTTCACCATTCAGTGATACCCACTTTTTGCCGTATCTGTGCATGAAAATTTGCCACATTTTCTCGTTTCAAAAACTTGACCTTTTCATTTGTGCTGTTCTCTTTCCAACTTTGTTGGCAGATGTAGTTCACTGTTGCAGAAGTCTTGGGAGCAACGTCTTCAATGATAGCAAGAACAAGAATTGTATTTCTCACGAGGAACTGTGCCCCTGACTTAGGGCCATCTGTTGCAAGGTTAGTTACACTTTATGGAGGTCTATCTATGCTGTAGGATAGGTAATCGAGCAGGTTGTAGGCAGAGTGTGCCAGTACGAAAGCCCTTCTGAATGAGATATCACCTCACAGAGGTCAGAATGGCCATCATTAAAAACTCTGCAACAATAAATGCTGGAGAGGGTGTGGAGAAAAGGGAACCTTCCTACATTGTTGGTGGGAATGTAAATTGGTACAACCACTATGGAGAACAGTATGGAGGTTCCTTAAAAAAACTAAAAATAGAATAAAGATGCAGATGTAGAGAATAGACTTGAGGACATGGGGAGGGGAAGGGTAAGCTGGGACAAAGTGAGAGAGTGACATGGACATATATACACTACCAAACGTAAAATAGATAGCTAGTGGGAAGCAGCCGCATAGCACAAAGAGGTCAGCTCGGTGCTTTGTGACCACCCAGAGGGGTGGGATAGGGAGGGTGGGAGGGAGACGCAAGAGGGAGGAGATATGGAGATATATGTATACATATAGCTGATTCACTTTGTTATACAATGGAAACTAACACACCATTGTAAAGCAATTATACTCTGATAAAGATGTTTAAAAAAAAAAACTAAACTAAAAATAGAACTACCACATGATCCAGCAATCCCACTCCTGGGCATATATCTGGAGAAAACCATAATTTGAAAAGATACATGCACCCCAGTGTTCACTGGAGCACTATTTACAATACAGAAGACATGGAAGCAACCTAAATGTCCATCGACAGAGGAATGGATAAAGAAGATGGGATATGTATATACAATGGACTGTTACTCGGCCATAAAAAAAGAATGAAATAACACCATTTGCAGCAACATGGGTGGACCTAGAGATTATCATACTAAGTGAAGTCAGACAGAGAAGGACAAATAGCATATGACATCACTTATATGTGGAATCTAAAAACATGACATAAATAAACTTATTTACAAAACAGAAACAGACTCACAGACTTCGAAAACAAACTTATGGTTACCAAAGGGGAAAGGCTGGGGGGAGGGAGAAATTAGGAGCTTGAGATTAACATATACACACTACTATATATAAAATAGAGGGAGTCAAGATGGCGGTGTGGGAAGACAGGGAGTTAGCATCTCCCCACAACTAGGGCACCTGCTGGCTGCTGGTGGGAGACTCTGATGCCCAAGGAGACGGGCGGAATGCCAAAGTGAACCGGTAGGATGTAGGGGGACTAAGCGGGGAGGAGAAGTGGAGGCCAGACAGGATTGGCGCCACTGAGGGTGGGGAGATCAGGAGAGGCAGATGGGAGGGACTCTCCAGGAAGAGCAGGAGAGGAGTGGAGGGCGATTGCCTGACCCACTCGGGCCGGGGAGCCTGCTGAGCTCCCAGGCCGGTACCCCCACTCCAAAGCCCCATCCAGGCCACGTAGGTCCTGGGGGCATAGGAGGGAGGCTGGGGGGATCAGGAGAGGCAGGTGGGAGGAGCCACCCAGGAGGAGCAGGAGAGGAGCAGAGGGTGATTGCCCTGTTTACTTGGGCCTGGGGAGCCTGCTGAGCTCCCAGGCCAATCCCCTGCCATCGAAAGCACCCTCCAAACCCCCCTCCAGGTCATGTGGTTCCTTGGGGGCATAGGAAGGAAGCCGAGGGGAGAACAGGAGAGGCAGGTGAGAGGAGTGGGAGAGGAGCAGAGGACAATTGCCATGCCCACTAGGGAGCAGGGAGGCTGCTGAGCTCCCAGGCTGATCCCCTGCCCTCCAAAGCCCCCTCCAGGCCACGCGGGTCCTTGGGGTCATAGGAGGGAGGCCGGGGAGATCAGGAGAGGCAGGTGGGAGGGGCCCTTCCAGACCAGAGGAGCAGGAGAGGAGAGGAGGGCGGTGCCCTGCCCACTTGAGCCCAGGAAGCCTGCTGGGCTCCCAGGTGAGGTCCCCTGCCGTCTGAGACCGGGGATGGGTGATATGCCTGGGCCCCTTCTGTTTCTTGAACCTAAGCCCCACACCCCACACCCCACAGCTCCCAGGGCCTTTTCTGACTCTGTGGGTCCTGAGCATTGGCCCCACCCACCGCCCAAACCTTTCCCTTGTTTAGTTCCTGCCCTCCACAGCCAAGGCCTTTCCCCACCCTTTTTTTTTCTTTTCCCTCCTCCTTTTTACTATTGTGGTACTGATGTACCTTCTGGTTGTTGATTCATCTATATTTTTATTTTTATATTCTTCCTAACATATCTGTTAGTTTACTAGTCTACTTTTATTTTTTACTTTTTTTTTCTTGCTGCCCCAGGCAGCTTGAAGGATCTTGGTTCACGAGCCTAGGGTCGGGCCAAAGCTCCTGCAGTGGGAGCTCTGTGTCCCAATCACTGGACTAACAGAGAACCTCAGACCCCAGGGAATATTCATAGGAGTGAGATCTCACGGAGTTCTTCATCTCAGCACCAAGACCCAACTCTACCTAATAGCCTACAAACCCCAGTGTTGGAAGCCTCAGGCCAAACAACCAGTAAGACAGGAACACAATCCCACCTGTCAAAAAAATAAATAAATAAGATGACAAAAAAATGTCACACATGAAGGAGCAAGGTAAAAACCTACAAGACCAAATAAATGAAGTAGGCAACCTACCTGAAAAAGAATTCAGAGTAATGATAGTGAACATGATCCAGAATCTAAGAAATAGAATGGAGACATGGATTGAGAAAATACAAGAAATGCTTAACAAAGATCTAGGAGAAGTAAAGAACAAACAAACAGAGATGAACAACACAATAACTGAAATGAAAAATACATGAGAAGGAATCAATAACAGAATAACTGAGGCAGAAAAACGAATAAGTGAGTTGGAAGACAAAATGTTGGAAATAACTGCCAACGGGCAGAATAAAGAAAAAAGAAGGAAAAGAATTGAAGACAGGGGGCTTCCCCAGTGGCACAGTGGTTAAGAATCCACCAGCCAATGCAGGGGACACGAGTTGGAGCCCTGGTCTAGGAAGATCCCACATGCTGAGGAGCAACTAAGCCTGTGAGCCACAACTACTGAGCCTGTGCTCTAGAGCCCATGCTTTGCAAAAAGAGAAGCCACCACAATGAGAAGCCCACGCACTGCAACGAAGAATAGCCCCCGCTTACCGCAACTAGAGAAAGCCCACGCACAGCAATGAAGACCCAATGCAGCCAAAAATAAATAAATAAAATAATTTTATTAAATAAAAAATTGAAGGCAATCTCAGAGACCTCTGGGACAGCACTAAACACACCAACATTCGAATTATAGGGGTCCCAGAAGAAGAAAAGAGAAAGAAAGGGTCTGAGAAAATATTTGAAGAGACTATAGTGGAAAACTTCTCTAACATGGGAAAGGAAAGAGGCAACCAAGTCCAGGAAGCACAGAGAATCCCATACAGGATAAACCCTAGGAGAAACACACCAAGACACATATTAATCAAAGTAACAAAAATTAAATTCAAAGAAAAAATATTAAAAGCAGCAAGGGAAAAGCAAAAAATAACATACAAAGGAATCCCTATAAGGTTATTAGCTGATTTTTCAGCAGAAACTCTGCAGGCCAGAAAGGAGTGGCAGGATATACTTAAAATGATGAAAGAAAAACACCTACAACCAAGATTACTCTACCCAGCAAGGATCTCATTCAGATTCGATGGAGAAGTCAAAAGCTTTTCAGACAAGCAAAAGCTAAGAGAATTCAGCACCACCAAACTAGCTTTACAACAAATGCTAAAGAAACTTCTCTAAGTGGGAAACACAAGAGAAGAAAAAGACCTACAAAAACAAACCCAAAACAATTTAAGAAAATGGTAATAGGAACATATTGATAATAACCTTGAATGTAAATGGATTAAATGCCCCAACCAAAAGACACAGACTGGCTGAATTGATACAAAAACAAGACCCATATATATGCTACCTACAGAAGACTCACTTCAGTCCTAGGGACACATACAGACTGAAAGTGAAGGGATGGAAAAATATATTCCATGCAAATGGAAATCAAAAGAAAGATGGAGTAGTAATACTTGTATCAGATAAAATAGACTTTAAAATAAAGACTGTTACAAGAGGTAAGGAGGGACACTACATAATGATCAAGGGATCAATCCAAGAAGAAGATATAATAATTATAAAGGTTTATGCACTCAACATAGGAGCACCTCAATACATACGGCAATTGCTAAAAACCATGGAAAGAGAAATCAACAGTAAAACAATAATAGTAGGGGACTTTAACACCCCACTTGCACCAATGGACAGATCATCCAAACAGAAAATAAATAAGGAAACACAAGCTTTAAATGACACAATAGACCAGATAGATCTAATTGATATTTAGAACATTCCACCCAAAAGTGGCTGAGTACACTTTCTTCTCAAGTGCACAGAGAACATTCTCCAGGATAGATCATATCTTGGGTCACAAAGCAAGCCTTGGAAAATTTAAGAAAATTGTAATAGTATCAAACATCTTTTCTGACCACAATGCTATGAGATTGGAAATCAATTACAGGAAAAAAAAACCCTGTAAAAAACACAAATACATGGAGGCTAAACAGTGCACTACTAAATAACCAAGAGATCATGGAAGAAATCAAAGAAGAAATTAAAAAATACATAGAAACAAATGACAATGAGAACATGATAAGCCAAAATCTGTGGGGTGCAGCAAAAACAGTTCTAAGAGGGAAGTTTATAGCAATACAGCCTCACCTCAAGAAACAAGAAAAATCTCAAATAAAACAATCTAACCCTACACTTTAAACAACCAGAGAGTGAAGAACACAGAAAACCCAAAGTCAGTAGAAGTAAAGAAACCATAAAGATCAGAGCAGAAATAAATGAAATAGAAATGAAGAAAACAATAGCAAAGATCAATCAAACTAAAAGCTGGTTCTTTGGGAAGATAAACAAAATTGATAAATCCTTAGCCAAACTCATCAAGAAAAAAAGGGAGAGGACACAAATCAATAAAATTAGAAAAGAAAAAGGAGAAATCACAGCTGACACTGCAGAA